GGGTGGGCTACGGCGGTGTGGGTTCGGTAGGTGCGCTTCGCGGCGGTACTGTAATCGCGTTTTTATCTTTCCTTTTGCTGTTCTGTTAAATTTCATTCTTTTAACCCACGAGTTTTGCCCTGACGATTTCTTTTTCCACGACTGTGGGAGTTGTGCGAGCGGCTGCGTGGTTCTTTGTTGCTGGCTGAGGCCAAACCACGACAATGTGTTAAATTAACAGAAATATGATTTATGGGTAGGAAATTCACTTTAATTCCAGCTTCCTGCTGCAAACATCACTTTCCTCCAGTCTCTATGAATGTGTGTGTCACTTACCAAGAGCAAGGCTCGTTATAGTACTTTATAGTACTAATTGGGAATTATTTCTTCCTTCCAAAAAGTGAATAGCTTTCAGTGGTTTGATACTTAAATCTGGCCATGTGCTTATAATCTGATTTACAAGAGGAAAGCTAGGAAAATTGATGAAGAAAAGGTAGTTTACAATATATAACCTCTTCTTACCACTTGTTTAATATCTCTTTTAGATTGCCCTTTGTAATGAAGGATCCATTGTATAACCCCAACCAAATTAATGCTCATTTATCTCTGAGAGGTGAAATCATGGAGCCAGGTGCTGTGTGTGTGACGGGCGATGCTGTGCCCGAGACGCACTGCGATCCCTGCAGAAGCACTTCATAAGAACTTGAACGTGGGGGCCCAGAGCAGCTCTAATACTGAAACATCAAATTCTCCTCACCAGGTTAAGGCAGCCGACCACAGGTCGGTGTGGCAGCACTGGGGACTGCCCGCTTTGCGTGGCAGGGGATGCGATGCCCTGGCTGCCCTTGTGTTCCGTAGGACTTCGTGCTTTCGTTGCTGCTGGGCGTAATTCTAGCTTATGGTATGGCAGCAAAGTAACAGGCAATTGGTGAGTTTGCGTTGTGTATGTATTTGCAAAGCTGATCCGTCTTTAAAGCTCTGAGGGTGAGAAAGCTCATCGTTACTGTGTGCTGCAGTTCCAGCTGTGCTGCCGACAAAGTGCGCCGAAGCCTTTTGAGCTGACTATTCTTCACCGTTTCTTAAGACGGCAAAACAAGTTAAATTTACAGATTCTTTCTTAGCAGTAACACAAAGCGAGCAGCTTTCTTGGTTCTTACTTGGTTCTGTTTAACTTCATCTTGCCTGGAAAAGTTGAACCCGCTCAGTGCGATTGCTATGGACTTTTGAAGGTTGAAGTTTATTTTAGAAACCTTGGTGCTAAGTGGTAGGCTTGAGAAGCTTTCAATTATTTGAAATGGAATTACGATATCACCTCCTGAGCCGTCCCGGGGAGGAGGCAAAGGGCCAAGAAGTGCGAATGCCTTAAAAGTAGAGAAAGTGTGCAGTTATCTGCAAACTAATACTGATATCTCCCGGGTCACATGGAGAAGAACATTGTCCAAGTTGGAAGTCTCGTGTCTTGAGGAAGCTCAGACTAGTGGTAACGCTATAAATGTGGTGGAGTGGACTAAGCAATGAGCTTGTTTGTCAACTGGGCGTGATGCTCGGTGTCCCTGAGCCTCCTTGTTCAGCTGTAGGATGCTGGAAACATCTGCTGCTGCAGATAGGGTGGTTGAAGACTCCTTGGGTGAATCTGGAAACTTACTTCATTCCCCCAAATGTTGATGCATTTGGGTCATGCAAAGTGAGGCCTTAAATCCAGTTAAGTGGTTTGCCTTTCTTTGGCATGACCTTTTCAAAGAATCCTGTTCTCCATCTTAAAATTTGGTGTCCAAAGGTTGTTTCAGGCATACATCCTTACCTTCAGCATAAGGACATTTCGCCTTGTGCGGATTATACGATGGGGAATAAGTGTCTGTGACCCCAGTGAAGGTGCTTTGGGTTTGGATTAATCCCTGAGTCACGCAGTTAAATGGGTATTTTTGCTGCTTCACAGCAGAAAGCAGTCCAACTGGTAAGCCCTTTCAGAAACAGCTTATGCTTTGGCCAACGACTTGTGTCAGGTTCAGCCTGGAGGAATTTAGGAAAGGTCGTTTGAGCCCTTACAGCGCTGGAGACCCGTCCTGTTTTGGGGAACGTGGCACCCATTTGCCTTCCCTGCCCTCGCCTCCTCTGCAGCGCTAGTGCTGGAGCCGGGCTTGCTGCTGAGAAAGATACTCAGCTATCCTTCTCATGGAAAAAAACCAAACCAACCCAGGTTCTTTGTGCTCTAGTTATAGACAAAACACATATTTGTCTTCCAGAATGGCTTTGTTGCAGTTGCCCAGCTTGCCATCTTAGTACTTTGAATCCAGACAGCAGCCCAAATGATCCAGAGCTCGTAATATACAGAATATGATTGTCTGCAATGCCTGAAGGATATTTTTTAAAAGTTACCCTTGAAGTAGCAGTGGAAAATTTCTCACAGTGCTCAGAAATCTGGAAATGAGAGGCAAGGGGTATGGTATTACTTTTTTTTTTTTTTTTTAATTAGAAGGTTTTTAAAAAACTGCTGGATCTGTGTCGCCGCCTTTTCCTTTCTCTGCTGGTCTACACTCTGCTTTTCCTGTCTCACACAAGGACTTGCTGCTTTTCCTCTGTAATAGCAGTGTGTCTGATTTATTCTACCGGGTTTAAATTAAGAGGAAACTCAGCAGTAGGGGAAGAAGTGATGGATTTGAAAGCAATTTCAGGCTCTTCTGTCCTGGCTTATTAGACAGTCTACTTTTTTTTTCTTTTTTTTTTTTTTTTTTTCCTCCAAGAAATGCAGTGGCTCCATAGTAGCAGAAATGCAGCTGTGCTCTCCGCAGTTGGCCTTGAGCATGCCAATGGGCGCCGGTTGCTCTCAGTTGCCGCCGGGGACATGTGCATGGGTCCCCCCGGGCACCCCGCTCTGCCAGCCCAGATGGCTGCTGTTGCTGGGGGCAACGTTCGCTCTGATGCTGCTCCAGAAAACGGAAAGAGAACCAAGAACCTCCTCAGCAGCAGCGGTGTAAAATGGAAATGTTCCGTGCACGCACGCCACTGGGGAAAGCAGGTTTTCTGTCTCCCAAGAAGAGCCAAAGCATCATCGTTTCAACACAGGTTTTCCTCACGTAAAGTCACTGTGTAAAGCTGACTTGTTTGCTGCTGCAGAAATTCTCATTCCCATATCGAGTCCTTTGTGATCACAGGTGAGGGCAGGCTATCAGAACGGTGGGGGCCTCATCCCTCTGCATCTTGGTTACAGATCAGCTGGGTGCCAATTTAATTCACTACATATATACTCTTATAAACACACTGGAGTGAACTGAGAAAAGGAAAATGGCTGAGGTTAAACTATGAACTAATTAATCGCGGTGGTTTGCGAGCCTTTGCTTCTGTAAGTAAGAACAGTTACACAATTGTGCCTTCTAAAGAAGGAAAAAGCTTTGTTTCTAGGGCAGCAGAGGGAAGTGCTCCCAGCCCGACCAGCTGTCCAGGGGAGGCAAACCAAACAGCAATGGTGTGGTCTTCGGTGAAACTCCCATTTTGCTCTTTTACATTGTCTAAAGAGGCCAGAACGTGCATCTGAGCCGCTTATTGATGGGGTCTCCACGTTGCTAATAAGGTCCGGGCAGCCCAATAGGCTTCTGCTGGCTAGTGGCGAGGAGGAGGAGAGGGGGTCTGCATCCTCCTCACAGGGTCACTTCACAGCCTGAAGTTTATAGTAAATGCTCCTAAATTTCCCTAGGAAAACCAGAGCAGTAGAACATGACATTCCTCACATTTCTAATCTAAAAGAATAACTATTGCCATGCGGCCAATGTGCAGCCTACAGAAAAGGCCAAAGGACAGCTTTAAATCCTTCCTTTGTCAACCATAAAGAAAGGTCTGTAGAATTACGCAGAACAGCAAACAAATAGAAAAATTAATGTGTTTGGTGTTTTGAGGTGGTATTGTTTTAATTTGTCCCTGGAGAAACAGGAAGGGCAGTCCAGCCTGGTGGGGTTCCTGGGGGACCTCACCTGGTGGTCACCACTATAACTTCACAGGAGCTGCTGTGGGAGGTGGTGAGTGGTCACAGCTCGAAAGGCAGCAGGACCTTAGTGGTGATGAGCATCGTACCGGGAGATGAAATCCTGTGGGTGTTAATCTCTCGGATAATGAGCCTTGCGAAACCAAACCAAGGAGTAAATAGCTGTGTGGTGATCCATCAAGCCACAAGTGTGTTTATGTTGCCTGAAATATTAACGCTGTCGTGTAGCAGAGCGTAGCACAGACATCTCTTTGTTCAGAGGCGAGTCTTTGTCTTCTTAACACTGGATTCAAGACAAGTGCCCTAGTTCATACATGCTGCTCATCTCTTACATAAAAGATTTTATAATTGCTCTTGATACAAGCATAAAACAAATCTAAAACCCCGAATACCTTAGCAATGCAGTGCCTTTATTTGACTTTTGTCTGTTCGCTACTAATAATTTCTTCTTTTGGATTATAGGACAGAAAGCTCACAAAAGTAGAGAGGCAGAGATTTAAAGAGGAAGCAGAAATGTTGAAAGGTCTACAGCATCCAAACATTGTGAGATTTTATGACTTCTGGGAATCCTGTGTAAAAGGCAAAAGATGCATTGTGCTGGTTACCGAATTGATGACCTCTGGAACGCTAAAGACGTAAGTACAGCGCTCCTGGTGAGGAGGCTAAGAATAGCGATGGAAATTTTTAGAAAAATCCTACTTTCATATGCTGAAAAAAGGCACCTCCGGATAAAAGAAAAAAATGGAGCTGTTCTCTGGTGTCTGTCATTTGTTCCTGCGTTTGAACTGCATTGATTTGACAGGAAGAATTTTGGCCTCCATCTCTCTTTTCCTGCTTTCCTGTTTCAGTTATGCAACTAGAAGCGGCTCTCTGGTGTGTTTCATCTTCTGCCTGTGACATTTTCATTTGTCAGGGTGTGTTTTTGCGATTGCTTTTGTGCTCGTATTTGCATGTTTTGTTAGGAAATTCAGATAGAATAACACTTGAATGGTAGAATGTCTTTTTGAAGCAGAAGGTGCTCTAGGTTATCTGCTAAACAACAATAATTAATAGCTTTTGGTACTGACAATGTTGTTAAGGTTGATATAAAACAGTTGGCATGAATTCTGGAACAGATTTTCAGCCCCAATGGGAGCAGTACTCATCACTGCATATATCTAGTGTGCTACTCTGCCAGTGCATTAGCAGGTTTTACTTTTTTTTTTTTTTCCCAAAAATGTACCCTCCCAATCAGTGTTTTAGGTAAATAGAAAAAATGCAGATGCATGGTGTGGAGGTCAAAGTCTTGTGGTTAAAATTAAACTTCAGTATTCTTCCGATTTGAATATATGAAACATATCCTAAGGCTGTTCTCTGCATGAAGTGAATTGCTCTACTATTAGACTTGCAAATATTTGGTTGTATTTGCACCAAAAATGCTTATTATCTTCCTCCCTAAAAATGAATGCTCTAATTCCTCCTTTGAAAAGATCTAATTCTTTCAATTTTGCGATATTTCTGAACTGCTATTTCAGCATCTAATAAGGGGCTTTTATCCAGAATGGAATTTCAGCTGTTAAAGCCCCTAGAATCTCTAATAACACTTCATTTTCTTTATACCCACTTCTGTGTATGTTTGTTGCTCTAGGTATCTGAAGAGATTTAAAGTGATGAAACCAAAAGTCCTGCGTAGTTGGTGCCGGCAAATCCTGAAGGGTCTTCTTTTCTTGCACACAAGAACTCCACCCATAATTCACAGAGACTTAAAATGTGACAATATTTTTATTACTGGACCAACTGGATCTGTGAAAATAGGAGACTTGGGTCTGGCAACCCTCAAGAGAGCTTCGTTTGCCAAAAGTGTAATAGGTAATCTTCCTGTTCTCCTTGGCTTCTTTCTGTTGGTATGGTGGTGTCCTTTCTTTAGTAGTTCTCTTTTGCATTTTGCATTTGTGTTTTTTTTCACTTGTAGGTTGGTAGTAGAGACTGAAGTGGTTTTGTGACTGTTCCCTTTATACCACTATAAAAATCTCAATTGCTAGGAAAAGGTATCATGACTGCCTCTTCTCCTTCTCTCTGTATCACAATGGTAAAACGCTCTTTTTGGTTGGGTTTTTTGGGTTGGTTTTTTTTTTTTTTTAAATTAAAATATGGTGTGGTAGCCACAAATCCTTCTTCTTTCTCCTTTGAAAGGAGCAGCAAGGGTTCCCAGCAGCTTGTGGACATCATCCTCCTGAGAACAGGCTCAGTGCCTGCTGGTGTGGCAGGGGGAGAAAAGAGGGAGGAGAGGGCAGGGAAAGGATGCCCTGCTCTCTCCCTGACAAGGGTGTGCTGCAAAAGCCTGGGAAAGCCACCGGGAAGGCTCCTGCTTGCAGTGATGCTGGGATAAGGGACGGTTACTTTTGCTGAAGGGAGAGGCAGTAGTGCCCTGTGGAGCTGGGCTTCTCTCCTTGGCAGAGCGGTGGCAGGGCTGGAACCACCTTACCCTGTTTACTGGGGCATCAGCAGAACAGGCTGCTTCTGCAGGCAACTGCAGAGCTCGTCCCTGCCTCGAGTTCTGCTGAAACGACATCTGCAATTTATTAATAATCAGTAGGTACAAAATTAAAAGAAATGTCCACTAGGATACGCAATAGCTGGTGCCCTTAGGTGGTGGCCGTGGAAGGGGTGTTAGAACTTGGGTTTGCTTGAACTGGGAGGACGTTTTATGAATGGCTGTCAAAGGTCATTGTTTCCTTGCGAAAGTTACATCTAATGTTTTCTTTGTAAATGTAATGTTTTCCTGAATTCTCAAACGTTTTGTGCTTTTACCCAGGCTTCCCTAGCAAATCTCCCTTGTTCAGATCTGTAGGTGATGGTTTTGGGAAGCTGCATATTCCTGAGAAATGATGCTGGAAGTGGGGAAGTTGTCACGCATGTAGTCATATTTCAGCTTACAATATAAATGGAAATTAGATTCTAGGTAATTAGAGTTAGCGAACTGATAGTGACAAACACTCTCCCCTTACTATATATGAAAATAGCATCCTATCTTTCAAGCAATAGTTGCTTAAGTAATTATTTTAGCATCTCGAATATCCAGAGATTATAATTCTTTACAATTATTTGTTCAAAAGTATTGACCTTAATGCTTAGAGAGCCCGGTATCATTGAAGTCAAAATGATAGACATTTTGGATATGTGCTTGGCTACTGTGAGTCCGCTTAACCTTGTTGATTTTAGTGAAGTCATGTTGCTTTGTGTCTCTTAAGTGTCTCTAGTTTTCACTTTCAAATGATTGGTGGGGTTTTTCCTACTGAGGGTCAGTATTTCTTTACATCATTTTTTTTTGCAGTATAACAATTGTCCATGGGACATAATAGAATAATATCAGTCATACTGGCACAAGTTTTTCTAAAATCAGTTGTTGTCACAACACAGTCAAAGCACACTTGTGTCTAAAAGAAATTCAATACTGAGAAGGGCTGCAGGTTGCTGGTGAGGTGTCTGCATTCATTTTGGCAATATAACCGAACTTCTCTTTTTCATGAGTGGTTCTGCTCCAAGGAAAGAATTAGGAGGGCTTGTGAATGCTGGTGAGATGAGTAATTCTGCCCCCTCTGTAGATGTAGTAGCTTTAAAGGAATATAAGTAACTGCAATTTTATATCAGCTTGAACGGAATGAAGTCAGCGTGGCTGAGGTCCAGTTTTTCCCTTGCTGCGTTTGTGCCATCGCTGATGCTCGTCTGACCTTGCGGTGTATCTCTGCAGGGAGCTGAGCCAGGGCAAAACTCCTGCTGCCAAGAGGAGTTGGATAGATGCCAAGCAGCTTTACATTTTGGTGGTCTGCTTTGGTTGTATTGTATGTATTCCTTTCCTCCCCCAATGCATGGGGGGAAAATGTCATTTTCCCGCTATTGTGGAATGGTGTCAAGAATTTCATTTGCTTCTTAGACTGTCACTATTACTTTTTTGGATTTGCTTTAAATGCTCCATAATTCATGAGATTCACTCCTGCCTCTGAGTCTTGTTCTTTCTAAAACAAGGTAGCAGCTCCAAAAAAGTGTTCTCTATGGCAGTGGTTAACCGTTTCAGAGCTGCAGCCACCGCCTGTGGGACAGCAGGGAGAAGAACCCTAAGAGCAGGCGCTAAGTTAAGGTGTCACGACATGGGTGCAGCTGATTTACGGAGGCTGAAGGAAGGAGTGTCTTTGAGGTGGAAGGAATATAGACAAGGAGAGAAATCGAGCCCAAATTTTGCAAAAGGAGATTTACAGAAATGCTTGTGCTGAGGCTTATTTTGTGAGGTAGGACAGTCTACTTCAGAAAATATGCAAAAGCAGAGTTTTTACCCTAATTTTGGGAGATGTTGTTTATGTTGCCATTAAAAACCCAAAATCTTACATCAAGTCCCCAAACATATGCGAGAACTACTTTTTCCTGGTATATGTTACTTTAGAATCATAGAATGATAGAATAGTTTGGGTTGGAAGAGACCTTTAAAGGCCATCTAGTCCAACCCCCTGCCACGAGCAGGGACATCTTCAACTAGATCAGGTTGCTCAAAGCCTCATCCAACCTGACTTGGAATGTTTCCAGGGATGGGGCATCCACGGCTTCTCTGGGCATCCTGCGCCAGGGCTCACCACCCTCAAGTAAAAAATTTTTTCCTTGTATCTAGTCTAAATCTGCCCTTTTTCAGTTTAAAACCATTCCCCCTTATCCCATCGCTCCCCTCCCTGATCAAGAGTCCCTCCCCGGCTCTCCTGGAGCCCCTCTAGGCACTGAAAGGGGCTCTAAGGTCTCCCCGGAGCCTTCTCTTCTCCAGGCTGAACCCCCCCAACTCTCCCAGCCTGTCCTCCCAGCAGAGGGGCTCCAACTCTTGGAGCATCTTCGTGGCCTCTTATGGCCCTGCTCTAACAGGTCCATGTCCTTTTTGTGTTGAGGGCTCCAGAGTTGGATGCAATATTCCAGGTGGGGTCTCCCCAGAGCGGAGTAGAGGGGCAGAATCATCTCCCTTGAATTACAGTTGTGTCTTTGCTGCTGATGTAGAGATGTCATAACAAAAAATGAAGAGACCCACCAGGCTGCCGCAGGGCTCTGGGGGCAGTTTGGATGCCACAGCAGATGCTGCTGGGCTGGACAGGCAGAGTTTGCTCAGGTCCTTCACGTGGGCCAAAGCCTCTCGCACTCCTTTTGGCATCCCGCTGCTCACTGGTCCTCTCCTGCAACGCTCGACTGCATTGATCTCTCTTCCTTCATCTTTTCTAAGTGTAAGAAGGAAATAAATTAATCTTGACTCCTAAGCATAAATTACGTTGCGAGGCACAGTTCCTGGAATAAATTACCAAAGTGTTAATTTTTTTCCCTTTGCTTTGTAAGACCATGTTTTTCGGAGCAGTTTGCTGTGCAAACGTTGCAGGCGTTGTAAGTTGCCGCTTGTTATAAAGCTGTAATTTCCCGTTATGCAGCAGTAAGTACAGTGCTTCACTTAATATTTACCCCATTCCGTGAGTTCTCTGACACCCTAATCCCTGTTGAGTAGGACCTTATTCTGTGAGTAGCCTCATTGATTTGTCCTACTAAACCAGTGACAGAATTATGTTTAATGTTTTCTGCGTGACTTTGTAGGTGATTTGAGATACTACGTGCTTTCAAAGTGCTGTCTGTCTGCTGGGTGGTTGCAATGTGTCTCTGGAGGAGAAAAATAATGCAAATTTGCATTGATAAAAACGGGAGAGAAGGTTCTTGTTTCTTCTCTCCTTTTCACCTCCACAAGCCTGTACACATCCCTCTCTCCACCCAGAAAAAGAAACCATTTCATGACTTCCAGTGTGGCCAGGCAACGTGCCGTAGCTCATTCTCTTGTTAATTTTTGAAATTTTAACTTTTTTTTCTTTTTCCCTCTTGCCCCTTGTATTATTACCAGTGAGCCATGGGTATGTAAGTGTGTTTGTTACCTTTGGGTTTCTTCCCTGGAGGGTGCTTGAGCTTATTCTAGTTACTTTTGAAAGAAGCTTGCATGCACCCTTACACAGCTATAATGCACACACTTCTTATTCGTGAAAAAGGTTGTGGTTAAAGCCATTTAGATTTTATAAATAATGTACATTCTTTTTCTGCGTGTCTGTATAGGTACACCAGAATTTATGGCCCCGGAAATGTATGAGGAACACTACGATGAATCTGTGGATGTCTATGCTTTTGGAATGTGCATGTTGGAAATGGCTACCTCAGAATACCCTTACTCAGAATGCCAGAATGCTGCTCAAATTTACCGGAAAGTAACCTGTGTGAGTAAAACCTCCTTCATTTGTATTGGGATTTTGAGATTTGGAAGTTTAAAAACACATTTCGATGAGGTGTCAGCACTGTCAAAGGTGTAGTGTGGTGTAGAAGTTGAGGTATCTGAGCAAACCTGTTGCAGGTTTATTTGTAAGCTTGTAGTTCTGCGGTTGGATTATGGTTGACTGTACTGCAGCTGCATAAAATATTTTCAGTAATCTTTGTTGCTAATTGTGTCTCCATCAGCCAAAAATACATAAAACTTGGGAAAAATGAGCAGGGAAAAATCTTCACTCTAGTCTTGCCTCCTAAATGGGGACTACTCAGACTTGATCAAGTTTCCCACAAACATAAAAGGACCAACTTTTAGGTTGCAGCCTAAATACTTATTTATATGGTGGGGGGTGTTTGATTCAGATTTCCAGCACAGATTCTCTCTGTATGTGTAACAAATTATCTGAAGATATAAAAGGGCAGAAATAGCGATGTTTAGTTTTGGAGTCAGCCAGAGGAGCTTTATATCTGCATTTTGAAACTCTTGGAGGGTCTGGTAATCCCCAGCCAGGAACCGTGGAAATGGGTTTGCTGCATTTTCAGGTGAGTTGATGTTGGCTGGAGGAGAAGCCAATCTAAAATAATCTCTATACAGAATAAAATACCCTCTCCAGTAGTCTCACCAACAGAAGATAAATGTATTTGTGTGCATGAGCTGGACTGCGAATGCCTGAAAAAACTCCTGAGTCTGTAAGATGCTAGCAGATTGCAAATCACTGACTGCAGAGAAACGAGACTTGCCAAAGGCTTTGGCAGCTGTGGTTATGCTCTGTTTCTACCTGGTTAAGTGAAATCAAGAGTTACAGGAGAGTGTTTTTTTTAGGATAGATTATGTTAAACAGACCGGTTCGTCAAAGATTTTGCCAGGTGCTTCTTTCCATCTGGTTGCTACAAAAGGTGATAGTGAGCTCTGTGCTTTGGCCCTCGTGTGTCACCAAAAGATGTGGTCTGCACGCTCAGGATGTGAAGAGGGTCATCCACAGCAGAAAGCGGCAATAAAGCTTGCAGAGATTAGCTACAAAAAAAGTTGTTTTTATTTCTTTGGCCTTCAAGATAGATGGAGCAGTTAGGCTTACACAGTAGATACACTGAGCGGATTAATCTCTCGGTCTCCAAAAGTGGGATCCCAAAATGAGTTTGTACTCCTCTTACCCAACTGCTTGTTATGAGCAAAAATCTTCCCAAATGGAACTTAGGAATAACTGGTTGATTTTTAAAGGTGCTTAAGACTACTTGACTTCTCCAAGAGGTTTAGTAAATCACTCAAGTACAAATCTAGTTCTGGGAAATCCTGCAGTCAAACACTTGCACGGGGTCAAAATTGCATTTCCTGATTCTGTATGCTACTCTCACACTGGATGTAGAGATGGTTTCAGCAGGCACCAAAACTCTCACGTGTGCTGGGTATGATGGGTTTCTGTGTAATTTCATTTTTATAAGTACAGTTTGTATTGTTCAATCATCAAGTCATAGAATGGTTTCGGTTGAAAGGGCCCTTAAAGACCATCTAGTCCAAGTCCCTGCCCTGGGCAGGGACACCTCCCACCAGCCCAGGTTGCTCCAAGCCCCGTCCAACCTGGCCTTGAAGACCTCCAGGGATGGGGCAGCCACAGCTTCTCGGGGCAACCTGTGCCAGGGGCTCACCACCCTCAAGTAAAAAATGTTTTCCTTGTATCTAGTCTAAATCTCCCCTCTTTCAGTTTAAAACTGTTCCTTCTCGTCCTATGGCTCCCCTCCCTGATCCATAGTCCCTCCCCAGCTCTCCTGGAGCCCCTTTAGGCACTGGAAGGGGCTCTAAGGTCTCCCTGGAGCCTTCTCTTCTCCAGGCTGAACACCCCCAACTCTCCCAGCCTGTCCTTATAGAAGAAGGGCTCCAGCCCTCTTCCCACCTCTGAAGATCGGGATGCTGGGGAGTTGGTGCTCTTGTTGTAGGTTGCTGTGGTACCCACTGTGCTGATGCACTAACGCCCTAACCTGAGGGGAGAGGGAGGGTGCAAATGATTTGGGAGTCTGTGTTTAAAAGCTGAAGACAGTATCACAAGACACAGGAGGTTGTCCCTGCTGGAAATGAGACCGATGCCATGATTTCTGAAAGCAGGAGGACATGTCTGAAGCAGGGAAGCAGCTCTATCCCATTTTTGTGTAAACTGTTGTGAGCTGATGTTTATAGCTTAGTGAAGCTGAATCTTTCCCAAGGGACTGCAACCCTGATTTCTGGTAGTTTAACTCTTCTTAGAGTGTTGCTTTCAACCCATAGCTACTCAGAAATAAGTAAAATAAAAGGGCATCAGCAGCTGCTTGGCAGCGCAGTTATCTTCATCGCAATGGCTAGAGCAGCTCCCCATGGCACCGCAGGGCAGGGAGTGTGTGCAGAGATGGTTCTGCTGGTTGATGTGCTGCTGGCTGGCACACTCTGCGCCAGGGGCTGGCTGGAAACACGTGCTACGGCTTCTCAAAGGAGCAAAATAGATTTGGTGGCTCAGTGGAGCTGCTGGCCTGAATCCTTATGAGGATGGCCGCTTGTTCCACATCATTATTCCATGGTGCTTTATCACATTGTTATTCCACTCACTCCTCCCCTGAATGGAAAAGTTCATTTTGTTTGGCACAACGGCTTGTTGGCTTCACTCAGGTATGTAGTCCTTCGGATGTGCTCTAAATGCTGTCTTTATAGGTAGCTTAGGAGGCATCTCCTTGGGCTCTAAAGCTTTGTATGGTGATAAGACGGGTCTCCTAATTTTAGGCTCTGGAGCCTCGTCTCATGAACGTGGTATGGGTCTTGTAACCCTCACTACTGAATGGCTTTCATGAGAAGTGCGAGGTGTCTTACCTATTGCCTCGGACAGGCATTGCGTGAGCAGTGTGCCTTGTTTCTGGAGCTGCCATCACGGCTACCTGATGTTGAGTCGACCTGGACAATTCAAGCCATGAATAGTATAGATGTCTTCCATTGCTCCACACACCCAGAGAAACTCTGTGTACAGCTCTTAGCCATCTGGAACATTGGTAATTAATACTTCATAAGACTCCTAAGCCTCGTTTGTCAAAGCAATATCCAAGATGGCAAAGAATAACGATTAATCGGAGGATTCCTAATTAGATGTTATATTTCAATTTACAGACTTAAGTAGTCATTTTTTTAAACACTGAAAGCCTGAGCCAACTAATTTTCTGTGGCAATAACCTTTACATAGTTGAGGATTATATGGTAAACCATTATAACTTTGTAAAACTGTTCTTACACAGGCGACTTTAAAGAGATGGAAAATAACGCTTATAGGATCATAGAATCATTGAATGGTTTGGGTTGGAAGGGACCTTGAAGATCATCTAGGTCCACCTCCCTGCCATGGGCTGGGACACCTCCCACCAGACCAGGTTGCTCCAAGCTCCATCCAACCTGGCCTTGAACACCTCCAGGGATGGGGCAGCCACAGCTTCTCGGGGCAACTTGGGCCAGGGGCTCACCACCCTCAGAGTGGAATTTTTTTTTCCCTAATACCTAATCTAAATCTCCCCTCTTCCAGTTTGAAGCCATTCCCCCTCGTCCTATCACTACATGCCCTTGTATAAAGTCCCTCTCCAGCCTTCTTGTAGGTCCCCTTCAGATACTGGAAGGGGCTCTAAGTTCTCCCCAGAGTCTTCTCTTCTTCAGGCTGAACACCCCCAACTCTCTCAGCCTGTCCTCACAGCAGAGGGGCTCCAGCCCTCCCAGTATCTTCATGGCACTTGTCTGGACCTGCTCCAACAGGTTCATGTCCATCTTATGTTGGAGGCTCCAGAGCTGAATGCAGTACTCCAGGTATGGTCTCCCCAGAGCAGAGGAGAGGGGCAGAATTTCCCCCCTCGCCCTGCTGGCCACGCTGCTGGGGATGCAGTCTGGAATGCCAGTGGCCTTCTGGGCTGTGAGCGCACATTGCCAGCTCATGTTGAGTTTCTTATCCACCAACACCCTCAAGTCCCTCTCCTCATGAAAAACAATAGCAGAGAACCAGTAATTACTTGTAAGGGGTATTTTTGAAACAGAGCTGTCCAGTAGGAAAAGCTGTCCCAGAAAGCATCAGGTCCAGACACGGAAGATGTGTTTACTGCTATTTTCAGCTGGGCTCTGGGCAGTAGCGGTGGGAACAAAGGCATCTGGATTCCTTAGATGGGAAAAACTGCCTTACTGTTGTTCCAAGGAAAGGGTTAACCAGGTCCTGGTGCAGAGGGAAAAAGCCCTGTCGAATGCTATGAGCTGCATGAACTGTCAGACAGGAGGAGGAGCAGGGGGTGGACCTCTTGGTGAGGGTGCCAGAGGAGCAGCGGGTGCCCTGGGGGGGATCCCAGAAGGAACCTCTCTCTTGGGCGCGACAGCTTCTGTAGAGGAGCTGCATCCGTGGAAGAGCTGGCGACAGCAAGGGACCCCGCTTTGACCCGCGTGAGTTGCCCAGCCGGCGCGTGGCTGAGGGAAGATGCTGCTGTGGAGGCGTAGGGGCATTGAGGGTGGGGGGTCCCTCCACCTCGTCCTGACCCATCCCCTAACGGGGGGGGTCTGCCCCGGCAACTGGAGCGGTGGAAACTGCCCCGGCAACTGGAAACTCACCAAGGAAAAAACTTTAAAGTCACTTTTCGTGACCAGTTAGGGTTGGTCATGCAGCAGCTATTGCTAGCATTGGTTTGTACTAGACTGGAATAGAATATAGAAACAGGGTGTAGACTAAACCCAAGAGGCTGAATTACACTGGTTCTGTCCCAGCGTTAGATGAGGTTTGGGGTTCTCCCTGGAGCAGAAGGTGACCCTGACCTTCTCAATCGTGCAGCACTCCTGAACGCTGTCACCTACTTCAGTGTGTCAGGGGGAAATTTACTTAATTTTTGGTGAAACTCTTTTATTGCACCAGAAATGTAAACACTATTTTTAGTGTTTTAAGTTGAGGGTCAATGTAATGTAAAAATGGGATTGCTGTGTGTA